ACCACCGATGCAATCCACATTAGCGGTAATTGGCACCAAACTAATTTTTATTTTAGATTATAATCTCTCCTGGAATGCCTCTCTACGTCTCAAGACACTTATTTGGAGGGTCCTGATTTATGTTTGGCCAATCCCATAACTGAGTGTTTGACACGTGGCGAGGATAACGCAGTGTGTGCATGTACCCGTAGCAAATCCACGCACACAAAGTGAAGTATGTATGTTGAACTTATTTTGCACCTTACATAGGCAACCGCGCTAATCGGAGGTGCTTGGGGAAGGACAACAAACTAAACATTAAACGCAGCTATAAAGAAATGAGCTTTCAATCTAGATTGAAAAGTGCATAGCTACCAGTGGCTTCCTAATATCGGAAGGAAGAGCGTTCCAGACGGCCGCAGAAGCGCATTTGAAAGTGTGTGATGCAGTGACCGATACTACAAGGCTCTGCACAGATGGGTTTTTACAAAACCACGTGCTGTGCTGCCACCTTATCACCACCTTACAGCTCAGAATGTTTTGTCAAATTGATATGGTATAATACTTCTGAAATTGGAAAATGGTTACCATGTTCAAGTGGCAGAGTTGGAACTTTTTGATCATTTAATTCCATGGTTATATTATGCGATTAAATCGTACACCATGAAATAGTTAAGTGGAAAAAGGCTCGCGTCCCATCCCACTTGTTATCGTCGAATTGAAGGTGATGGGCAGGCCCTAGTGATGTCACCATTATCCGCAGCCGGGTCACGATGGGCGTGGCTTGTAGGGGGTTTCCTGCATTCAGGAGCTTCCGTTTTTAAAGGGGCCCGAGCAATTGACCACAAAAAAGTAGCCGTTTACAATTTTCTTTATTTTTAACTCATCCAACCGATTGTCGGAACTCATGGGATGGGAGGGGGGGATGCTGAGTTGGTGTGGCTGTGACTGGTCTTTTCAGCGATTTGATGAATTCTTGATTCAACTTCACAATTCTCTCCGTATTTATTACTCCCTTAATTTTTACTGTCACTTTTTTTCTTTCTCTGTCTGTTTCATGTATTTTTCTAATTAGCTCTATTAGCCTGTGTAATTTGCATAGCTCAGAAATAATTGATTTTCATATATTCGTGGGCACGATTTTGACATGTCTATCGTGAGCATCCTTGCATGCCGGATGAGGTTTTACATTAACAAGTGACCAATTTCTTACCTGTGTGAAATGCATGATAATTTTTGCTGCTGCTGCTGTGAGGGTATCAGAATCAGAATCTGTATTTATTCTGCAGAAATGCAATGAGCTATGAAGCTCTTTTTCACAGATGTCCAGTAGGGGCGGGTCACGTGCGATGTACGTCGTAATCTCGAGACTTGAGAGCTATTGCTTGCTCAAGCGCTACTAGTGTAAAGGTCTCCAATCGCGGTGTAAAGGCCTCCACTCGCAGGAGCTCTAGAGGGCCCCTTTAGAGGGCATCTGGCCTGCTCTTCCACACTGGCCACACGTCTTGGAAGATGCCGGAGTACCCCAACTTTACGCCAATGCACGTGACCTGCCTATGGACAAACTGTGGTGTACCTACTTATGCTGCTGGGTGGACAGAGGCTGGTGGGGGGGGGGGATATTTAAGAAATTTGCACCATTATTTCCAATGTCACACAAGCGATCAAATTGAATTGGCAACCTCTCAATTGCAAGTCCGGTGTACTAACTATTACACCGAGGCAGCATCGTTATTTAAAGCATCTGCCATGAATGGCCCCTGCCCAATACATTCGAAAGGGCCGTGGACAAACTGCTTGAAGCCTCCGGCTGAATTGTCCCGAAGCCATGTCAAAGTAACCAAAGAAATAAATAAAAACACATTCGGGAAAACGCGGAGCTTAACATACATCATCGCGTGCTGCACATCCATCGCGCGGGGGTCAATATGTCCCCCTTTCCCCGGCGAAAAATAAATAGGGAGGTGGATGGATAAATAAATAACTCCCAGGGTGCGTGGCGACGCATTAAGCAGCCCGGCTCATCTCCGAGTCAGAAATTGTGTGGATGGAGTCGCACATTAACCATCCGCGCGGTCGATATCGCTGGACACCTCTTGGCCGCACTGATCCCCACAATTGAACTCGGCAGCACCGCGGCTGTATTATGGCTATAAGGCCACCTTCCCACCCGCAAGTGACATAACGTGATGAATAGCAGCGCACTCGTGCCAATTGCGTTGTATTTATGGTATTAGAAGTAATATATAGTCTCGCCGTGTCTCTCTGTTTCTCCTAGGATATGCAATGCATCCGCCCCCGATGCTCGCAATGTGACGGTCACGAGTTGAATTCCCTGGTTGGGGAGTTGAGGTAGCCCATCGTCCTTTGGGTCGATAAAACGAGTTCCACTTTGCAGAGAAGAAAATAGTGTTGTTGTTTTTTTTGTATGGATAAACCTATCACCGCCATAGGAACGTGCCATTTCCACCACTGGCTCTGGTTTGTAAACATGTGATGAGCACCGCCTCAATGCTCGTTTGAGTAGGAAATCACTTGAACCTTTTTTGTCAACCCACTGTTGGGAAGGAGGCTTTGTTGGTCACGGGAGATGTTTGATGATGCTGCGCCATGCTGGAGAGTGTGAGGTGACAGATATATCACTCGCCACTGATATTAGCCATCAGCGTCTGAGAGCAAGTCCAACCGAGGAGATGGAGTGATGAAATCAGCTTGTGGGCAGGACCATGACGGATCGAGACAGCTTGTGGAGTCCTTCATTCGGCAGTTGATCAAACATGATCTATGATGGCTACGGTGGTGGTTAATGCTACCGCGGGTTGACTGCCCAAAACCGTGTTTGAATCTGAGTTGTGTTCTGTGAGAATGTACTGTCGATGGGTTTGTGCCGACTTTCATGTGGACATGAAATTGCAATTATTGCTCACGGACGTGATGCGTTCTTTGGGACGAGCGTTGACAAGTGGAACGCGTTGACAATGGAACGTGATCACGGTGTTCCGTCAACGGTGCACAAATCTCACACCACGTGCAGAATAAGCACCACGTTAAACATCCTACCACTGCAGCACATATCGTACAAATGTGGATTCGCGCAGCAGCTGAATAGAAATGCATCTCGTGGCACTGTGCGATCGAGGGTGTGTGTAGACAGGTTCCTTCACACGGAGGTTGGGGGTGGTCAACTGGTCACATGCAGCGCGGCTTGCACGGGTTACGGATAGAACATTGAGCACAATAGTACCGTGAATGACACTTTGCCCACGTAAAATGAGCTATTATTACAGGGGGCAGTGAACTAAATAAAGCATTCGTACCACGTTGGGCACACAAACAAACGTGCATGTGCATTTAATGGTGACGGATAAGGGGAGTGGAGTCCACGAGGTGACCCCACCAGGTGGAGGGAGTTGAATCCCAGAGGAGGCAGCCAAGGAGAAGGGGCGACCTCCCATTGAGTGGAGGTCGCCTGGAGGTCTTGAGAGAAGACGATCGGTCTGAGCTTGTGCGGTGATCGTGTGCAAGGAAGCAAATTAGGCCGTGTGCGCTAAGTCTTAATGAGCCTGGAACATGTGATCAGGAGGGAATGGGCTGGGGGGGTGAGGGGGTGGGGGGGAGTGATGTATCTCTCCAGGGGGAGATTGCTGCCACTAATCCGTGCAGCGTGCCCGGTGCGGTCTTGCTTAATAGGAAGAGTGCGAGTATGCCTGCAATGTTCCAGTTGCCTCAAATTGATCGTGCAATATAGACACGAGGTGCCTTAACCGCCACGGCCACGATCCAGTAACGCGTGAGAAACTTTGATAACAATTGTAATGACAAGCCTTTTTTGGAGGGATGTCACATCGTTCAAACTGCATCTCTCAACGTCGCACCATCCGCGGGCACCGAGCTGAAACATCCACGCAGGTATATCCGGCCAAGTCACGTAGGTATGAAATAAAATTAAATAGATCACGACGTTTCGGGCCCAACACAAGCGTCCATCATCACGTGCTTTCCCACCTGATGACGGACGCTTGTGTTGCGCCCGAACGTCGTGTTCTATTTCAGTTTATACCTACGTGACTTTACCGAAAGAACCAAAGGGCATGGATTACTGCAGTCAGGAAAGCTTCAAATCAAGATTAATATCCGGCCAATTGAACGAGTGTTCATACAAGTTTCAGGACACAGGCACACCCAGAGATAACCCCACTAATTCTAGATTTGAAGCTTTCGTGACTGCAAGGATTCATACTCTTAGTTTTTTCGGTAAAGTCACGTAGGTAAAAAATGAAATTAAAATTAATAAAAATAAAACAATAAAAATCACGATCCAGTAAACGTCGTGATTTTTATTGTTTCATTTTTATTAATTTTAATTTCATTTTTTACCTACGTGAATTTACCGAAAGAACTAAGAGTATTAACCCCATAATCAACGATTTTTGGGTTTAGATCGCGTTATTTATAAATGTGTCGTAACCCTCCACCACCCGACACGGCCAATCAGTAAAAAAGTGTCACGTTGACAAAAGACAAATAGTTCACTGCTTTAGCCCACCGGTGTGTTGAAGCCACAACATTTACAATTTGAGAACAACGTTTCGCTGGTAATTGCATCCAGCATCAATAACATTGGTCGCGAAAGCCTACGTGTTAAACAGTATTAACCCCACTAATGTCTGGCGGCCAACGCCTCTGTCCACACACACAGATGAAAATTAGTGCCCACTTGCTGTACCGCCTTCTCCTGGCCATCCAGGGTACTGCACCGGCTCGCTGCCCACGAGAAGGGAGTTTTGCAACGTCTGCGCCGGTGATCCACCAAGCCCTCGCTGCCGCCTGCACATGGTTGGACTACAGGCCACGTGCAGCGTAGCCACCACTGCCCATATACCTTTCTCTGGCCGAAAATGTATTGGACAAATGTATGAAAGCTGCCGCAGTCACTGACGTACGTGTATTGGATTTTAATGGAGAGACGCATGAATGCCCTAATTAAAATCAAATCATCGTTAGACGGGACGCAGAGTTCCATTTAAACATTTTAATATGAACCATGTACAAAATGTACCACTTCATATCAGCACAACATTGTATGGAAGTGATTTTTCACACTTTTTTTATCCTTTTTTTTTCTTATTCTTCGAACAATAGTTTACATTGTACAATATATACCGGTGTCATTTTGAAACGGGACAAAGGCAACATATTACTGTGTGAACACACAAAAAAATAAACCTGACATGGCTTATACTGTGCATATGTATAAGTATGCATTCATATTTTGCCACGTATTTTTTTCTTTTTATATATATATTTTTTTCCATTGCACACAAAAAAGGGGCATAACACTACATCAAGTTACGGCCAGGGGCACCTATCTGTTACCATTGGTGGCTGATCTTTTGCCAGTAATGATGGATTGCATGTGCGGGAATAGGTAACCCTGTGTCTTCCACCGCTCCCACTGACACAGAAGTATCCATTTGAAAGTCTTTCGGAAGGTCTTGTTGCACAGCGCGTAGCACATCGGGTTGACGGTGCTGTTGACGTAGCAGAGCCAGTAGCCGAGGCGCCACCAAACCTTCGGGATGCAGTTGTCGCAGAACGTCGACACCAGCACCATGATGTTGTACGGCAGCCAGGTGATGATGAAGGCCAGCAGAATGGCGCTCAGAGTCTTGGCTGCCTTCTTCTCCTTGATGAGCGTGATGCGCTTCCGCTTGGTGATGCGGCTCCGGGCCTTCGCCGCAAACTGCTTGGCCACCACCGCCTCCTTCAGGGTGATGCCTCCGGGCAGCCGCACCGGGGGGGCGCTCTCCGCGTCGCTCGCCGCTTTGTCCGGGTTGGCCGGCGGGGCGGCTGTGTCATCCCCGTCTGGGGACTCGGCCCCTGTCGCTCCCTGCTGCTGCTGCTGTGTGCAGTTGTCCGCGTTGGCTTCCGTTCGATCGTCGCGTGTGGCGGTGGCGGCGGCGACAGCGGTGGCGTTCGCCGCCGGCGAGGCGATGGCGCCGTCGTGGCCGTTGGCGGCGACGACGGCGCCAGTCGCGGCACCGGAAGTGGTGGTGGCGGCGTCCGAGTCGTTGGCGACGGTCGTGGCGGCGGCGGCGGCGACGGCTGCGGCTGCGGCATCGGCGGCGCTGCCGTCCTTCTCGCACTTTCCGTTCGTCTTCTCGGGGCCCACGGTCGCGTTGGCGTTCTTGGAGTTGGCGTTGCCGGCGGCGTTTGCGGCGTTTGCGGCGGGCACCTTGACGGCGATGGCGGAAGCTGCGATCATCTTGCTCGCGATGGACATGGCGACGCGAGCACCCCGCGTCCTGCGCTCCTCGTCCGTGTCCTCCTCGTCCGACGGCTCTGGCGAGTGCAGCATGGCCTTGTGGCCGGGGAACGTGAGCACAATGGAGAAGATGGCCTTGGGCCTCTGCGGCGGAGGGTCGTCGTCTTCGTCGGAGCAGAGGGAATGGATGGGCGAGGGGTCTCCCTCGCGCACGCTGTTCCACTTCACCTTGCGCGCTCGGTCCCGGCCGTCCCGCGATTTTATGGACTTCACTCGCTGTGAAAGACGGGTCGGAGGAGGGCATTGGAATAGAGAATTGGGGATGATTATGATTGTTTTTCATATCGCACACCGACACTGCTGGTGGCCCACAATATTTATTTTCCACTGGACAACTGGGCCGTGCCTGGTTCTTGCTGATCAAGGCTGATGCAGCTCAGGAGGGACCAGGTGGTTATTCCACTGCAGAAGCCGACATTGAAAGTCCCGTTGTTTGTAATTTGGGTAGTAGTAGTAATCATAACAATTATTATAACGCACAATTCAAGACAATTCGTTAACATGTAATTCTCCCCTCTTCTGATATTGGTGATATTTAATGTCCTAGGAGGATATTTAATTGAAACCAGGACAGGTGACAACTCTAATCAGAGCCATAATCTATCCACCAATGGGATGAATGCCTTCCCCAGACATCACAAAGCTTTCATTATCCTGTCACAGATCAGGTTAATCATCGCAATTTTAAACTGTATTTTCCGATATTTTCAGATATTCTACATCCATAATATATACATATATATATGTTTGTACCTCAGAGGTAGCAACCCAACTCATGCCGCAATTTACTCAATTTCGGATTATGCATAGTGATCATTGCCCCCTACTGGCAGACAAACGCCAATTTGCAGGCCAGGCAAATGTTTGAGATGAGATGGGAAATAAGTCGCTTACTGCTTGTTAGCGCTATGAGACATATCCCTTTGTAGATGGCGCTCAATCAAAAACGATTAATAATTATCACTAAACTATTTTCACTTCACCAGGTAAGGCCCATTGAGCTATGAAGCTCTTTTTCAGAGGCAAAGCGACCTGGCCAAAAATGATAGCTCAACGAAGTGGTCGACTTATGTGGAAATGTATCGCAGCCAAATACTCTCAACGCAAACTCCACATATCGGGGCGTCAGGGTCGGGATCGAGTCCACGACCTCCTGAACACCAGGCGAGTGCTTTAACATCTCATCACCGTTTTATAATTATTATGATGATGATGATAATGACGAAGGGTTTACCTTGAGCAGGCCGTACTTGGAGGGCCGCTTGGTTTGTCCCGGCTGGGCGGGGTCCGCGTCCGTGGCCGTCCCCTCGGCCGTGCTCGACTGGCGCGAGCTGCCGGGCTGCGTGAGGATGCGGCTGCTGGACTCGAACTGAGAGCCCTGCAGCCCGGCGAGCTCCCGTGTTCTCTTCTGCGTCTCCAGGTAGATGCGCCAGTAGAGCACCGTCATGATGGTCACGGGCAGGTAGAACGCGGCGATGGCCGTGCCGAAGGTGATCGCCGGCACGGACAGGAACTGGATGAAGCACTCGTTGTCTGGCACGGTGCGCTTGCCGTCGACGTACTGCCAGAAGAGGATGGCCGGGCCCCAGAGCACGAGCGAGACGACCCACGCGAGGCCGATCATGAGGGCCACGCGCTTGGTCGTTCGCTTCGCCTTGTACTTGAGCGGGCGCGTGATGGACAGGTAACGGTCGAAGCTGATGACCAGCAGGTTCATGACGGACGCGTTGCTCGCCACGTAGTCCACCACCAGCCACAGGTCACACGCGGCCTGGCCCAGAGCCCAGCGGCTCATGATGATGTAGGTGGTGTAAAGGTTCATGGAGACCACGCCGATGATGAGGTCGGCGACGGCGAGGCTGAGCAGGAAGTAGTTGTTGACCGTCTTGAGCTGCCGGTTGACCTTGAAGGCCACCATGACCAGAATGTTACCCACGATGGTCAGGAGGCTGACGATGCCGGTCAGCGTGCCGATGACGATCACCTCGAGCACCGTGTGTCCGCCGAGCGGGTCGTTGCTGGCGATGGCGTGGTCCAGCAGAGGGTCCGAGAAGTTCTTCAAAAAGTCGGCGGACATGGTGTCGGTGGACTCCCGCTCAGTGTCCTCCATAGCGGTCGAGCTGCGTCAGAATGGAACGGCGTGATGCTGGCGACAGCGACGCTGGCCTGCGGACTCTAGAGCATCGCTGAGTCGTCCCACTGCGCGTGAATAGCATTCGCGACATAGACACATCTCCATGCTTGTCACTCGGTGGCTGCTTGGTCTTTCATTGCTCGGTTATTTTCAAAGTTCTCTGCGCCCGGGTTCACGTTGTTAGTCTGCTCAACGATAGTTTGAAGGACGCCGCTTTTAAAATGTCTAGTCTTCGCAGTGGAATTTATTGAACTGACGTTTCAGATCGAGGTAAGAAGGAAAGCTTCAGTGTAGGAGCAGCACGCAGCTATTTTAAAGAATTACTGTCTGTATTTGGTTTGATCTGAAAAGAAATGAAATGTTCAGAAAAGTGCGTTATTGTAACACTTCAGTTATTTTAAGAAATGTATTATAGCCTCATAAATTGCAAGTGCATGAACATAAAACACTGCACATATCAGATTTCATCATTTTTAATCCAAGTTTGACATTTGTCACGTTTATTTGTCTCATCCTCTCCGAGCCTGGATGCGAACGTGACAAAAGATTATTATTTGCCGAAATCGTTAGCGTGAAATCTCAATTGCATTTGACACACTCGAACGATCGTTCGAGCCACGCCACATTGGGGCAGAGTCCGTCGCGCTCGCTAACGGCAAACTGTCATTTACGGTCACGTGATGGCGCAGATTTTGGACGGCCGTACAAGCTCTTGGCAGATTCTAAGGAACCCCCACCCCCCTGTGTTCGCCATAACTCTCGTGTAATTCTTTGGCGTCTCTGTTTTGAAACGCACGCAACTTAATCATCGCCGACACGTCCTCCGCTCCCCACGCGACCCTCGTTTCCCCCGTGCGGCTTCCGCGGGCGGTTATTTTTTGACCCCGTCGGCCGAGCGTGCCGCTATCCCGAGCCAATTACTTTTGACGGCCATCTGTTAACGACGGTTAACCGTGAGTGTCGCGTGCGCACGTCTCAGGCATCGCCACCGCTTCCAGATGCTCAAACGTGACGCTAAAGTCGGTGGTTATGGAATTTTGGTATTCTTGTAAAAAAAGATATGAGGATGAACCAATTTGGGCAGGGAATATGTCTGAAAGGCCTTCCCACTTGTAAGATATTGTGATTCTTTAAGGCGCTCTATACATGTTGAGTTATTTCATTACACGGGCACATGTAACTACCCCCTTTGATATCCTCCGCGCAGGGTGACCACTATTGTGGAACCATTTGGCCCAGGTATTGGCTGTGACCATGCATCACCTTACGTCCTTACATATCCCAGATATTTTAATTAAAAATAAAAAACCTCTTGAAGGTCATGAAATACTCCATTTCCACAAATTTCAGATTCAGCTTGACTAGCATAGTTGCTGAATTGGCTACGCATAGTAAAGGACAGCATTTGGAGATCAAATCACATTTCCATGGGTGCTAGATATGCGTTAGGCGATCTTCCCGACTCATTTAATTGCAAAATAAAACTTTTGTGCAGGAGTGCTGGTAGGTAACGAAGGTGTGTTTTTTATGTTCCCATTGCTGGTTTGCTATTCTGTAGATGGTAGAGTATTATAATTTGACAGCCTAGAACATTAAAAAATGTGGGGACATTTTTTTGTATTTATTTAAACAACGTCTTAAATGATGCAGGTAATATGCACTAGTGGTAGCATTGTTATATTTTGCAAACATTTGCAATTATTTTTTGTAAAATATATATTTTATTTGTGATTTGCAACAACACTTCATGATCAAATGATAGAGAAAAATAGAGGTCGATAAGAAAATAAACATAATCCACAGTAATCTCCGGTTGTGATGTATATGGTTTGACATTTAACAAGAACCCACATCTAACAGAGAGGGTCCTTGCCTATAAACATCTGGCATTTTACCAGCATTGCTTCAAGCAATCCTGACTCTGCTGATGAGACGTTGAATGTTAAAACCGGTCCGAGGTTTGCTTGTGTTGGACAATTTCTGTTGAAATGATGGCTCTCCCAGCAGGCTCTGCGGCTGATGGCATGTGTAACAAATACTTTGATTGTTTTCGTGGAGGGACAGATGGGAACAAGGCATAGTATCTGCTTATTTACCGTATTACTTATATTCTCAACAACGACTCAAATGATTATTTTGTGAACGTTACACGTCGGTTTTTTGTTGGGATCACATCGCGTAAATAAAAAAAATACGTGTGCCGTAAACCCTCCTCAACGCGACACAGCCGGTGGATAAAGTTGTCGCGCGAACAAACGTGCCAATTTAAATAAACAAGCAATTCCAGGCCACTGCCCGTCGACGTTGGGTGCCACTGGCAGCGAAACGTCGTGCCCCACGTGAACGATGTCACGTGACTCCCCAACACACCGGCGCACTTAAAGCGGAGTCGTACATCGGCACGTTTGCTCGCGTGGCAACCTCGGCTCATTATAATTTCGTGCGAATCAAACGAGTAGAACGCTTCACGAGGGAGGCTGGCTGAGAGAGAGAACATACGGAGACACCAAACAGAGGGAGAAGAAAATGAGAGAGCAAATAGCGGTGTAAACATTTGTAAATTCCAACATTTTAGTTGCCCTGTTCTGAAATCGTCACGTTCTAAGGAAAATGCAAATGTATGTATGTTGAACTTCTTTCGCGCAGTAAGTAGCCAACTGTGCTAATCGGAGGTGCGGGGAAAGTGATGATGTTTGCAGGTTCATTTTCTTAATGGTCGCCAACATGTTGCCACACGTGCAATTGTTGATATGTTCCGCGATTGATTAAGAAAATAAATTGCGACGTATACCCACGCAATACATTCACTGTATCCCCAGAGCTCTATGCACAGACTGTTGGTTGATAGTTTAAAAATATAGTGGTGCTTACCAGTGAACAGGGCGCTTTAACGGTGGCATCATGTGCAGATCTTTTTACCCTTGAATGCTTTCGGGCTGATTTTTTTGCCTTCGCAATGTGGCACTTATTCGGCGAGTTGCTACGCACCGTCTCCCTTGCTTCTGTTTATTGTGCGCGAATACCTTCATGCCAGCGTCCAAAACTAATATTTGAGAAGTCATCAGTGCCCCTTAATGTGTGCCGAATGAAGTCTCTCGACCTGGGGGGTCTGCGTCGTCTGCGGCTGCTACTTTTGCCGGGACCGGAGCAGGGATGACTTCAGCAAAGCAAAAAACAACACAGAACCCCCCCCCCCCCTCTCACTCACACACACTTGTGACTGCGCGTGGGATAGAGCGATGCCCCTCGCACGGGCAGAGGCTTTTTTTCTGGTCGAGATTTCCCTATCCTCGTGTCGCGCGAGCGGCACTGCCGTGCGGATGCAATTGAGGGACCTCCTGGCCAATTAGTGGTGTTATGTGGGGGGGGGGAGGTGGGGGGGGGGTCCTCGACCTCCTGTAACGCGCCCCGTGCCGCGCGTAGCACACGGTCCATCGTATTAAAGTGGCCGCACATTCGTCAACTCCTTCACGGTGCAGCGAATGCCGAACTGGGTGCACACAATGGGGTTTTCCTGCTGCTGCTGCTGCAACTTCATTACCAGAAAAGTCATGGAGGCCACCGACGAACCCTACGTCCAAACGATGTTGTGTGAGGTGAGCGGCTCTACGCTGCTCGTCATGGTTGAGCGATGGAACGCACTGCCTGGGCCCATCAAGAAGGCCACGAGTTAGGCCGTCTCCAGGAAAAAAATCTCAAGAATATTTGTTTTCACATTGGCTTTTCCAGAATTTAAATGTATTTTTGCTCATTGTACGAAGATTGTGTTTTGGGTTTCATCGGAGTTTTTTTAACGAATGTTTCTGTTCACATGATTGTCGTTAGCCGTGATCAATAGGCCATCGCCAGTTCTCACCGTTCCGTGATGTTCCAATCCAACCAGCGCTATGCGAGCACGGGATTATCTCATCGCTTGCTCCCAATTGCTGCATTTCCGCGATGGACATCTTCTCAAGCCCATTCTCCTCTAGCTGTCACTATCACACTCTTTGGTTCTTTCGGTAAAGTCACGTAGGTAAAACATTTTTTTTAACAACTAAATTAAATCACAACGTTTTGGGCGCAACACAAGCGTCCTTCTTCAGGTGGGGACAACGTAGCGAAAGCACAACCGCTTAAGTGTGTCTAAGAGATGGCTGTGACGAGGAATTATATAGTTGCGGGGGATGGAGGGAGAGGAGGGGCCATAGTGAGTGTGTGGGCGGGCGCGGGCTGTGGACTGGGAGGCAACGTTGTGAAGAACGGGGGTGGGGGTGCGCTGGGAGGCAACGCATGGAGGTAAAACTGAAGCTTTGTGATGCAGGGGGCAGAAGTAAAAAATAAAGCTAAGATTAAGCAGCCTTTTGTTATCACGTTAGTCATCACCATCGGCCATTATCCCTTCTACTCGCATCAATACATTTCAACTTGCCGTTGTGCAAATACACGTCCCGGGATTTGTTTTAAAGGCGGTATGCAAAAACAATAATAGCATTGTTATTGTTCTTAAAGAGGAGGTTAAACGTGTAAACGTGTAAACCCCCAGCAGGGGCAGACAGTCAGCCAAAACATTGGCAAATTCATCTTCAATTGGCTTCAGTGACCCCAATCATGAACCTGCAGTCAACATCGTCATCGTGGACCTTGATCACTCTTATATCAACAGAGTGTTGTGTTTGTGTTGCACCCTTAAACCCCCTGGGCTTTGTAGATGCATTGTGTAGTTCAGCTTGTGTTTGTGCTCCTCCAAATAATATGGATGTACTCTATGAGGAATGTGCCTATAAACAAAACACCCACAATGCCCCCGATCTTGTCAGTTCTCAGCAGCTAAGCATCGGCCCGCACTGACCAGCATGAAGTATGGTCAAAAGATCCCTCACGGCCTGCACGGGCGTGGGAGGCCCTACTCCAGCAGTAGATTGTCAACATTCAAGGTCGCGATTCAATTCGATAAAAAAAAATCTGGAAACATTGCGGTGGATTCAGCGCCTCTAGCAGCTGCGAGGGTCACGTGAACCCATTTTATTTACATAATGGAGAATCATAATTTATGTACAGGCGGCTTGATATTAAGAAAGACGTCGTTAAGAAATAAAGTTTGATTGATTGATTGATTGCCTACAAGTCATCTAGCCTTGTGGCTCAGCGGCAGAGCCACCGGCTCGCAATGGGAAGGTTGCGAGTTCAAACCCTTGGTTGGGGTCTCACTCAGCCCCTCATCCCTCTGGGGTCATTAAAATGAGAATGACACTGACAGTATGACATGTCACAGATCCCTTATTGCTTTTTAAAGACTGTTACAAGTTAAATATGCCCACTCTCCGTGTACCATTGTCTTGAGATACGATGTGCATTTAGACGCTAAATCCACATCGTATTTTATTGTAAAATGGCAATTTCAATAATAATGCCAAAATCTGCATTTCCATTGGATTGATGTTGGACATCGTCCTAGCCATCTCGTATGAATGCAACACTGAGACGCGAGCAGCCATGTGCGTGGGGATTTCCTCACCCAACAATCATATAATCTCTAGCCAATTAATAAGCATTGGCAACATCAGATTGTGTCAGTTGGAGCAGACTTTCCCATAGGCCGTTTAACTTTTCCTTAAATGTGTTTTTTTCTCTCATTGCTTATCCATTAGTCGACGCATTTACATTATTTTCTCCTTTATTCCAACGGGCGGGAAAACGTTGTCATGAAATCTTGAGCCCATCCGTAAAAGCGATAGCCAGCCATATCCATTTGGAAAGATTGCTGGGATTAAAAGCTTAAAGGTACACGCGAGGGTGGGAAAAGTATGT